TCCCATTATCAGTGGTCTTGGAAATAATTCTTGTATTTAATTATTTGTAAATAATTTATTTGAAACTGCAAATACCAGGAATCGAACTCATGTTCTGTACCTTTGCTTCGAAAGGTACACCCTGCATTGCTTGTTTTTTTTCACTTCCCATAGACATAGCACGGACAAAACATATAAATTAAGATATAAGTTTTTAAGTAACTGAAAGAAGGAACTTCATTTTATCTTATCTCACATATTCTCATGACTTCACGCTGATTTAGTAACAATGTTAATGGATGAAATTTATTTACGCTCGGCGTGTAACATTTCTTCAAATAAATATATTTGTGGGAATAACACCCATGATTTCCAGCTTTAACATAAATAATTTGTCATTTTTCAGCACATATGAAACAATTCTCACAAAAAATAAAACATTATTTCTATATAGAAAATAATTTAAATACATAAATAACAGTAGAGGGTGTGTATGGAACAAGGAATATTCATGCATCAGAGAAGCAAATTATAGTACTGTTTTAAGAGTAACTCACTTTTGTATAAATCAGCTTCATCAGGGATTCCAAATAACCTCATGAGTATGTCGTTTATTATCCTTTTGTTACGCTACTTTTCATAACGTCATGTAATCCTTACATTTGCGTGTATATCTTTTGTTGTAATTCTTTTTTATTATTATTATTTTACTTTTTTCTGCTGCTATTGTATCTTCTTTTATATTCTTATATATGTGTATATCACTTTTTATATTTTTGCTTATTAATAACTGAGTTGCGTGCTAACAAAGCACTTGTAAGGACTTCTGAAGAAGTCTTATGCAACACTTATGCCAACTAATCTACTAAAGTTGATTTTCTTTATCTTGCGGCGTAATCCTTATTTATGTCGACATTTTCAAATTTATATGTCACAGAATAATTTGGCAGAAAGTATACAAATTTATTGACGTCACAAAATTTATTATTATTTTTAATAAAAACGTTTTGCACACAATTAAATTTTTATTAACTTCAAATATTATTTTTAATTTTTAATTAAATTCACTTAAGAAATTTGTTTTTTTTTGATGTATTTTTAAACATTTTTAAATACTTTTATGCAATTTTAAAATATTTTTTACATATAGGTTATCCATGGTAAACTTAAAATATTGTTTCTTCAAACCATTTTTTGTTAATAATATTTTTTTATAATTTTTATTAAATTTTTTCAACACATCATAACGACATGCAAGGATTTCAAAAATCAGACTGAATTGATATGTATCGGTATTTAAACTCCTTGTTTCACAACATTACATTAAATTCTGTTAAAAATTTATTTATGTGTATATATATTTAAGTTGTTATAATTTCTTCTGTAATGTAATTATTAAGTTTTAATTAAAAATAACAATGCAAATTTTAATTATTGTATAATTTTTACTGTGCATGCAAATTACTATCACTGAAAATACTGACACATATTTTTCATCGGTTGACGCAAACCTGGAAAAAATAAATTATTTTTATTATTATTATTTTGAAATGAATTAATTTCGTTGTTAATAAAAAAAATTTAATTATATTTTATTTTGAATTTATTTTCAACATTTTTATTTGAGCAATTAAAATTGCCTTTTATTTTGTCTTTGTGAAATGACTGGCATACATTTGTTTGTGAAAAATAAAAATATAATTAAAGTATTTAATTGACAAAGTAAATTATCATTATTAAAAAAAATGAATTTAATTTAATTAATACATTTGCGCTTTTTGTGTTCATATATAATATTATTTTCATTCAAATATACTTTTCCAACAACAATTAATGTTGATATGTTATATTTGTTAACTTTTTTGTCATTACAGATTTTAAAATTAAATTTTTACAAAAGTAACAATAGTAATATAGTAATAAAAAATAATTATAATGAAAATTATATAAAAAACGAATAAATACCTTCCTCTCGTTAAGAGGGATAATATAATAATATAAGAGGCAGAGATACTGCTTACCATACCTATACTTGGGGAGTGCATGACATTGATGCAGAAACACCTAGGAGGGTATTTCATGTATCATAAAAATTCAAGATTCAAGATTAAAAAAGATAGGCTGTATACTGCCTTTCATTAAAGAAATCAGCCTTGGAGAAACACTCTAATCCAACTAAAGGGCACAATAGATCTTTCGATCGCAGTGCACGATCGCTTCTTTTACTAGTAATAAGCATATAATCTATATCAGAATGGGTAATAGATGTTTTTAAACGAAAATGATAATGTTTGTAACTTGTGCTACTTTCATCTAAGTAAATAAAGTAATTAGAATTAGTATTCTGTAATTAGTATTCATAAAACTGTTGCCAAAGACTTAACTTAAAGAAATAAAGG